GTGGTTTATGGTAGTTTGGTGTTCGGGGGGGTGGTTTTTTTTTTTTTTTTTTTTTTTTTTGCTGCTACAGCAAATTTACTCTTCTAATGAGGTCTAGCTCTGGCCAATATTAAAATGAGCCTGCGCTCTCTGCGCACACACCAGCTGACAGCAGGGCAGGAGGCGGCCTCCGTGCCAAGTGCCTGGCAGGGATTAAGGCTTTGCCACTGATAAGCTCCAAAGTGGAGAGTCTAAGTCTGGATCAAGTGTTAACTGGATTTGAGGACAAACCTTGCCTGAGGCCCACAGGTCTCATGGCTCAAAGTTCAGCGCCAAGGGCAGGATCGCTGTCTTCTTCTGGGTCGGAAGTGTGAGCTAGTTATCTGCTCCCATGGAGGACAAAGGAGGGGGGCGGGAAGGCAAGCACAGCAAAGAGAAGGCCCGTGGTGGGGACCTGGTTCTGCCGTCCTCCCTGGCCAGCCGTGCGTTGGATCTTGTGGTCTTCCTTCTGGGGCCGATGAGCAACCTGGCCTTGGTGGCCACAAGTCTCTCCTGAGAGAAAACGCAGGCTGTGAGCTAATGGTTCCATGGGCCTGGTGTGGATTGCTTGCCCTCCCGGCCTGAGTGCCCCTCCCACACCAGCCACGTTTCTGGTGCTCACTGTCTCCATGTGGCTGGGGGGCCCCGTTCAGGGGGGTGGTGGCCACTGTTCTGGCCGGCACAGACTCAGCATACGCCTGGCAGCACAGAAAGTTCTAGGGGACCGTGCTGTGGCGGGCCACGCTCCGCGCACACCCTGGAAGGTGGCTGGGCTTGTAGCTATGGCGGCCGAACGCTGCACTCAGATCCTGGCATGGCCATTAACCGGCTGTGCAGCCTTGGGATGCTGCTTCCACCTCTCTGCGTCCCAGCTCCTGGTCTCTCGCCGAGGTGACAGAGGATGTTTATGAGGCGGAATTGAGTCATCACAGGTAATCGTGCTAATCGCTCGGAACACGAAACCGCCAGTGCTTTTTTATTTTTTATTTGAAAATGAAAAGGAGTTTTTATTTTCTCAATCATTTAACTGTCTACTTAAACACTTATCGAACGGCCTGCTCTTGCCAGGCTGTTGGCAAGCAGTATGCGACCTCGCGGCCACCTCTGGCCCTGGTCACCTGTGATGGGCATGTGGCCAGGTCCTCACCCG